AAAGATTAGGGTCCTGGAGCATCTGCCTTATGTGAAGAGGCAGAGAGACCTGAGACTGTTCAGCCTTGAGAAAACTTGGAAGGATGGATCTTATCAATGATTACAAATATTTAAAAGTTGGGAACAAAGTAGATGGCCGCAGGCTCTTTTTGGTGGTGGCCACTGACAGTACAAGGGCAATGGGCACAAAATGGTAAACAAGAAGTTTCACACAAACATGAGGAAAAAGTTCCAGGGTTACAGAGCACTGGAACAAGCTATCTGGAGAGGTTGCAGTGTCTGTTCCTCTAGAGATATTCAAAATCCATCTGGACAGTTTCCTGTGTAACCTACTCCAGGGAAACTGGTTCAGCAGGAAGGTTGGAGTAGATGATCTCTACAGGTCCCTTCCAACCCATTCAATTCTGCTATAATGCACAGTAATATAAATACCTTCTTTCTTGACTCAATGTTAACAGAATGTACCTTTTTATTTGTCAAGTATTAACACAATTATGACAGACTTGAGCTGTTTTTACTCCAAATCTACAGTAATATGGGTCAGGAAATTCATTTTTCATGCGTTTATTGCTAATTTTCAGAATATTTCAATATTCTTACAGTATTTTCCTAGAACAAAACTAAATTGAAGTGTAAGAAATGAAAACTTCTTGCTGTACCACTTGCCTCCTCTATCCACACCAAAAAGGTAGTCTTTCTTCCTTACCTTCCACACAAAAAATATTGAACCTACATTCTATATATTGTATAGAAAGTGATTACGTTATATAAACAGAAAGGCAACTTAAAACATTTGTAAACTTTAAGACTTACTAAATTAACATGAAGTAGCTTAGGAGATACTTCATCAATTAAAATGCAGAAGTACTGCACAGTACCCTGCAAGAGCATCAATTACAGGTGCATAAAGAAGTTCAAATTTTAAGTATGCTTTGTGCTTACTTCTTGACTTTCCTGAGACACTAATTCTTCAAGGAATAATTTGTGTTGTGGAGCAAAATCTTCCATCTTTACTACAGCCAAGAGTTACTTACAATGTGACAAAGGAAATATGAAATTACTCAACAGCATAAAATACCTTGATTCATGTACAGAAACATACATACTAAATGAAGTGTGAATTAGCTTTATTCTTTTTTATTCAGCATAGTTAGCATTTTAGGAATAACAATATATATATTTCAAACACTAAGAAGGTAATTTCCCTTTGCTTCCATCTTCTGGATGGTTTTTATGCCCAAACAGCATAATATACCATAAGAATAACGATGATTTCTTAGACACCATTCTAGCATTCTCTTGTAAACCCATCTGCTGTGAGTGTCCCTCATCTTAACCTTCTGTTTAAACCAGAAACTTCAGCTTTACTTTGTCAAAAGAGAAGTACCTCAGGACTCAAAGATCACACACACATACTGCACATCACACACATACAAGTAGTTTAACTTAGCCTCAAAAGATGTAATACAAATAGGCCTAAAATCTTCAGGAGCACAGTCTGTTTGAAAGCACTGGTAAGCCTGTTGCTTCAGTTCAATACAACTGTACACTCATACTGTGATAAAATAGTAAAACAATTATTTTCCAAACTGAAACTATTAAAAAAATACTGTCAAACACTCTATTTAAGCTACACTTTTTGGGCATGTGTTTATTTTTCATGATAATATTCATACATAACCAACTTTTGTTTTTGTAAACACCATAGGAAATTAAAAACATTGCTTGATTAAAAGGTAGCCAAATCTAGCTTATAATTTTAAATCAATGATATAGTACTTAAAAAAATAATTACTTAGGCTATATGCACACATACAGATACATATTTATGTTTATATAATGTATACAAATAGACACATTTTATATATGCATGTAAGCAAATGCATCTCTGCAGCAGCCAGGTAGGGTATTAGAAGAAACAAGTTTTTTTTTGTTTGTTTGTTTGTTTTTTTTTTTAAATCAATGTTTAATACACAACCAAGATACACTATACATTCACAACAAAATCGTATCTGTACAACATGAAACTTTTATCAGGCTCTTCCGCACTGCTAATATTTTTCTTGATTCTCTTAAGGAAATTGAGAAATAAAATTACTTTAGAAGTTTACACATCATTTAACGTAGTGGTCATAAGTAACAGAAAAAAATGAAATACTGACGCTAATTTAAGCAAGTAGAAGGTTGAGGATCAATACTTATAAAATCCCTTAAGACTGGCAGTGAGATTTTCAACTTATCTTAAAATGGCTATTAGGTTACAAATAGTTTACTTCCTCTTTATGATTTAGGTACACTACATTCAACTAAAAAAAAAAAAAGCAATCACCACCACAAAATAATAAAAAAAATACACCAACAGCAGCCCTGTCCATGTGCACAGAGATATATTCTACTATCATCACGGTGCTAAAAAGTCCTGTAAAACACTTTTCAAGAGCCAAGAGTGAAATGAAATTCAAATTATGTACATTGTATATATAAAGTTTCATAATAAAAATAAACATCCTTCTGTTTCAAAAACCTGTTAAGAGACAAATCACTGTCAAAAGAAAGGCACTAGGCAAACACGATATACCCTGGTACAGAATCTGTATTCACCATAATTTACATGTTGCACTGAAATAGTAACAGCATATGCACATGCTCTTTCCCTTAAAACACAGTATTAGTTTATAGATCTGTGCAAGATAATACAAACCCTGCTTTCAGAGAAGATGTACTGAGCTTCACTTCTCAGACAGCTCACAGAACTGAAACAATTTACTTGATCACAACTGACAGAAGTAGAAATGAACCCAGAGTTTCCCTTGAAATTAAGTACCCTCACACCACAAAATTTTTATCTCAGAGACCATAAGCCTTTTCCTTCTAGAAATGCTCCAACAGTAACTTCAGGTATCTCTGTATGTGCAGAAGAACATTGAAGAGTGACCAACTTAACCTTCCCATTCTGTTTATTCTGCAGCTTGCATAAAGTTGGTACATGATTTACTTTAAGTACTATAACATAAAAAAGATGAGTCAACTGCAATTCTTCAGAGTCAATACATTAAAAGTAATCATTTACTATTTTTTTTAACGAATTAGGCAAAAAAAAAAAGAAAGAAAGAAAAAAAAGTAGGGGAGTGAGGCTGAAGTGATACAGATATTCCTTAACTCCTTTTCAGACCTGAAACTCATTATAGAGCTTTCTCTTCCACCTAATTTTGATTGGATTTTTTTTCTTATTAAAGTTCGGAACAATTACCTTCTAAATACACCCACCTTTTCCCCTGTGCCTAGTAACTGGGTTCTTACATTTAAGAATTTCATTTCTTTGCATCTGTATAAAACTTTTCCCACAGAAATATTTTAGCCATTTTTCCAAAAATGACTACGATTGCAGTAGTAACCTACCAGCAGAATTAGATTTCTATTGTTCCAATACTTGCAGTGATTTTTGCTCCAAGCACAGAAAAAATATTGGCTAGGCAGGTGGGGTAGTTCCAGTATCTGCTATTCCACGAGATCACTTCAAATTCAGTTCTACTCTTGGACATACATTTTTTCCAGGTGGCACATTTAGACTTGAAAACATATTAAGCACATAAAAATACAGTAAGTGCTCAGTAGTGATAAGTTTCTAAGTACTCCTTTATATCATATTTTTGAGAAATTCTTATATTCTTCTAAAGATCACATTAGACACCTGTGCATCATGGCCCATATCACTTCACATCAAGAGCTAAATGATGTCTTTGCAGCAACCACAGAAGTTTTTCTAAGGAAGATACACTACACTGTTACCATAAATGATATTTTAAACAAAAACAGATTACTGCAGTTGTAAAACACTGCACAAAAATTTCAAATGCTTCCATAAACTGCAACAAAAGAAACAACTTTTACAGACATGAATAAAAACTGGCACTGGGAAAAAAGATGACCAGTTCTCATGACTAGTAAACAGTGCAGGCAACTACAGTGACAATGGATGGCAAAGTTTAAGCAGAGAAAGAGATCTGTCCTTACAGGTCTGAATTCAGAAGAATTTTTAAATAATACATTCAATAGAGATATACAGTGCAGTTAGTCAGCCCTTCAACTATACGGGCTCTTTGAACTGCAAAGCTTAAAGGTATCAAATTATAAAAACAAATTATGTATAGTTATATCAGAGAGTTACAGGAAAGATGTATCAACAATTTTCCTTAATAAACAGAGAGCAGTTCACTTGAAAGTGGTAAACTCTTAACAAGTGCTTTAAAAGTCTCAGACACAATTTCATAACAGGGTCATAGCTGTATCTTCTTTAGCTTATCCACTTGAGTGCAATTGAAACAAAACAAGCAAAAGTTTCTGTTAGAAACACTCCAACGTTTGCAGAGATGCAGCAGGAAAATGCAAAGAATTAATACTAGTAAGACTGTAGTAACTCCAGAAGTGCACTTCCAAATGTCAAGTCATTTATCTGTAACCCAATTTCCACAGTTTTTCCTTGAAAACAGCTGAGATGGTTATGCAATACCTCAAACTTTTAATAATTGCAGACAAGTGACGAGAATTTGCAAATAAGTGTAGATACATAAACATTTTTTTCATACCAGAAGGACTCTAGAAAATATTGTACAAGAGCTGCTGCAAAAGTAATGTCTCCTATTACGTTGGCTCTCAGTGTCAGAGGCGGATGTTGGTATTACGGCAGTAGAGGTTAAGCCTTCTTGTCAACATCCCATTCTATTCTGTTGCCACATGACAGATGGCAGCAGAGGGGCAGTCCAACAGAACGGTACCTGACACAGAAATATGTATGAAGCAAAGGTGTGTCATTGAGTTCCTCCAGGCAGAAAAATGGCAACCACTGACAAGCATCAATGATTGCTGAACATCCGTGGAGACCAAACAGTGGATGTGTGCAGAGTGAGGCATTTCAGCAGCGGCAACAGCGGGTCACCTCTACTGCTGCAGATTTTTATGACGTGGCATGCAGGTACCTGTTCATCATTGGCCAAAATGCATAGCTGATAGTGGTGACAATGCTGAAAAATGGTCTTTTTAGCTGAGAATTTACTCTGATAAATACTGCGCTCTTTGCATCTGTTGTACTGTCCATGGAAACAAATAGGAGACATTACTTTCAGAACAACCCACACAGTAACTTATGTTTATTTGGAACAACTCAAGTTTTTGGAAAGAAAAGTAAACAAAAAAAAGAAAAAAGTATGTCATCTTCTTTCTTAACCACAAATCCCCACATCTGCCTCACAACTTCATGGACAGAGCACTACAATTAACCAAGGAAGAAGTATGAATAATTACAATAAACCCTGTTGAAATTGAGAGGATTCTAGTGGTTACAACAGTTACAATATATTAACTACAAAGCAAGATCAGTTGTTTTTTAAAACCACTTTGTTACAGATTAAACACTTGACATATACTGCAATAATTTAATGTCTACTGTTTTCCTGTAAAGTTGTATGAAAAAGTCCATGTCCCCTTCCCGCAAAAAACTCCCCTTCCAGAAATGGATTCTTGAGGAGACATATCCATGCAATTTGACATTTTCAAGCTTCAGTAAGAAAAACAAATAGTAGTCACTACACTGGAAAGGTGAGACTCTCAGATCTAAAAATAACTAATTTCCAGGCACACCATATTGTTAAAAGTAGTGTTGAGCAGCTTACTTGAACACTAACACGACCTTAGTATCTATTGTTCTGGATCTTGGAAATACATGAAAATAGAAATCTGATTTCAAGTAAAAGTGATGAGTAGTTGATGTCACTGCTACTAGATTACATTGCTCCAAAAATTATAAATGAAAAAGCAGAATTTAAGATTATTATTTATTGTATGACTAGCAAAATATTAGCTTTAGAATCTCTGATGTTTTTAAAAACTAAATCTGTGTCTGCAGTCAACAAACCATGTATAACTATAGTTGGTTTTTTTTTTCCCCCCTATATTTTTAGAATTTTTTTCCCGCTCTCAAATTTCAGGATTTTTTGTTGTTATGTTTTCTAGTTGTTGGATTTTTTTTTTTAAATAAAATTCAGACACAGAAAAACTATGTAAACTTGTCAGCATTCCAGTAACGTGCAAAAGTATGCAGCATGTACTGAACAGAACAAATATGAGTAAACTAGAAATATTTCAGTAGTTCTTTGGAACTCAATCTTTCAGAGATATATATTTAAAAATGAAATAAACAAAAACTCACCAATGTTGCACACATACAATGAGACATACATACAGTGTTCTTACCACAAGATAATCATACAATCAAGAACTCCCAATGTGCAAAGCGTAAAAACAGTAGCTGTAGTTTACGCACGCTACTGACATGCACCCTGCAAAAAGCAAGCTATCAAGATCAAATTTAGCTTAAAGGATCACTTAGATTAGAAACAGAAGTACATGAATAAAGTATACAAGTATCTGTCAAATTTTTGTACTACTTCAGTCATGTAGTTATCCCATGCAGATGTTCTTGAAGCTTAGCATGCAAATTACTAATTAAAATAAAGCATTCTTGAACTACAGTAATGAATGAGATGAAAATATTCTCACACTTTTTACTCTTCAAAATTTAGTAGTAGTGCATTTACATTAATGCGATATAATGATTTAAACATACCGATAATAAAGGCATTTCATAACAGAGTCTTCAGCTCTCAATTTCTTTCTTACTGTATTCAATATGCTAAGAAACAACTGCAGTAGAAATAGCTCACATAAGCCACTGCTCCTTTTCTTTTCTGTACTTCTCAGACCACTTCTGAGTGAGCTCTAGATAAACATTTGGTTTATGGGGCTTATAATCAAGGTAAACTATTTGTCCAGTCTTTTTGGGGACAGCTTTTTCAATCTGAGTACCCTCGTGCCATTCGTTGAAAGATGTAATGGAAATAATTTCTGGTCTCACCAAAAGGGCTGCATTAAAGGCAGTCTCATAGTATTTTCCATTGACACGATTACGTGTGTTGTGGTTGTTCCATGGTCGGATACTCGTGTCGATATATCCTGGTCCTACACTTGGAATAAACATTAAGTTGTTGCTGTCACAAAAGGCTTTTAAACTTGCCCAATTATGATGAGATGAGCCATAAGAGAACCCATTTGTAGCAAAGTATGTGTACATTCCATCAAAGCCACTTCTGTGAATATCATGCTTATGCCTTTCTTCTACAAGAAGAGCAATGAATAACGCATCGTATGGAGTATTTCGAATAGTCTGGGATCCAGATACAGTTAACAGATTCGCCCATATTTCAGGAATTGTTACGTAAGAATCATAAACATAAAACATAGGAAGAGATCTGCCTGTGCTGGTCTTATGCCTGTAAAAGGCTGGGTGGGCTCCATATCTACAAAGCAAACAAGTATCATTAAAACCAAATTTACCATTTTGAAAACACTGACTTACAAATTGCATTGAAGATCTCTTTTTCGAAAAAATAAATAACTAAATAAAACAGCGCAGGAAATGCATATCCATTCTCAATCCGGTATCTCAGTATCTGTTAAAGGATTGAATAATGAATCTGCAAAGATCACTATTTCTACCAATCAGTATTTGTGTTAAACTGCACTATAGGTATTAGTCTTCTCTGAAAGGCAATTCTCTAAACAAGACTGTAAGTAGCACTGATGAACAAAACAATTAGTAGCTGTACAAAATTTGTCAAGCTGAATTAAAATCATTAGAGGTCAACACGTTATGGCTTGCTGCTTATTTGTCACTCTAAAAATGCATGTCTAATTCATATAGCTGCGTAGTTAATACTGCAACTGCTTTCATCTGAAACACTGTGCCTCACTCATGCTGCAAATGAATATTGAAAGCAACATACATTTGAATGTTTACACACAGTTCATGCTTCAATATTTAAAAAACAGACTTCTGAGTTTAAGTACCACCAAAATATGAACTACGCTTCCTGAAGTTTTCTTCAGTCTCAGTACGTATTTTGAATATATTCTTCCAGGCTCTAGACAGTATACAGAACTTCACTGAACAAATATTAAGAATACACAAAAGGAACATTTTGAAAACACTCACTTGTCAATGATGTATTTGACACTGTGGTACATACTGCGATCATCTCTATCTTTGTAGGGCTCAATATGAAAAGTGACCTGAAAAATGAAAAACAGTGAAGCAGCACAAACAATATTTTATTGAATATTTGGGCATTCTATGTTACGTGAAGCAAGTAGTGGTCATATTAACATTTTCTGTTAATCCTAATGTAAATCAATTTTAAGATTAGTAGTTTCAGATCCAGGAAAGTCTAGCAATAAGAGTAAATATTTCATTTTTTTCATCAGTACTAAACATTGCTTTTGTTTTCCCTTGGCAATAGGGCACAGTAAGCATGCTTCACAGAACTTCACAACTACAGCAGAAAGTAACAACTGAAATAAAAGATTATTTATTTGAATGTCAAATAACTGGTTAAGCAGTGAATTTCCACATAACATGATCAAATTACTATTGATAATAAGAACAGAACATGTTCAAATTACTATTGATAATAAGAACAGTTCCCACTGTCAAACTAGATTTTAAGACAGTATATGAAAATTTTAATTTAAAATTTTATGGAGTTATCAACACCATAACTCTTTTCAGACTCTTTTCAGTGGTGAGTGGAGACAGGACAAGGGGAAATGGCCAGAAACTGGAGCATAGGAAGTTCCGCACAAACATGCGCAAGAACTTCTTTACAGTGAGGTGACGGAGCACTGGAACAGGCTGCCCAGGGAGGTGGTGGAGTCTCCTTCTCTGGAGATGTTCAAGACCTGCCTGGATGCCTACCTGTGCTACCTGGTGTAGGGAACCTGCTTTGGCAGGGGGGTTGGACTCGATGATCTCTGGAGGTCCCTTCCAACCCCTACAATTCTGTGATTCTGTGATAACTGCTGATATGCTTTTATCCCTGTAACTAAGTCTAATCTGAATCTCTGCTGCTCTAAATTCAAGCTTGGGGCTTATGAAATTATTTATCCTGTGTTTGTGAAGTTACATCAATGTAAAAATCTTGTTTCCAGCTATGCAATTCAAGGGAGGAGTACATTACATTAATCAAAGCGACTAGCTTTTCAGAAGCAACTTCAGAGTACAAAGCATTTAATGAAGCATTCAACTACTCTGCAACAGTAGCAAATTTAATTACAGTACCAGAGTATATAAAAATACAGTATTACACTAAACTACAAGAACTAACAAGATGGGTTGAAAAGTGCTTTAATATATTTTATTTTCATCTATCAAAAATAAGCAAATCAAAAGGACAAATTTTAGCAGATATGTATGTTTTATTTTTTATAAAACAACATTTTTTTCTCTGCTGTTTTTAGTCTACAGACATTACTTAACTAAAGAACCATTTACTTGTGCAAGAATATTTTTAAAAATTTCTGGAAGTAGAATTTAGTGATAGTATCTTTACTTAATATCTGTATTCCAATAACTAATCCAAACAGTAACAGCAGCTCCATCCACAACGCTATTATTACCATAACATTTAAGCATTTTCCTTGGTAACTTATTTGAATTTTGCCTTGCTCTTTTGAGACGTGAGTGTTAACGAGTTCTCTCAGGTGAGATCAAGCTCCATAAAATGATCTGAAAATTTCTAGCGGAAGATAGTTTTCTTTAAAAATAGTAAATTATTAAAAAGAAAAAGGAAAAAAAAAAAAGACTGCAACGTGTCACAGTGAAATTCTCATTGCGACTTTGAAAATTACTTATGTATCTCATTTAATTTTCCTACTAAGAATAAACAGCAGCGCATGTTTTCTTTATTCCCCCAACCCTTTCCCCTCTCTGCCTGCCCAAGGTAAAATACAGGTTTTACTCTAAATATAAACATAGTACAGTGCAAGTGCACATATATCTACTTTTGGAACTCCCAAAATTGCAGTAAAAGAGCATACAGACAGAAGCTACAATTACCTTACAAACTTTCTTTGCTCAGCATCACGGGTGAAATGTAAAAAACTTTTACCACGATTTACTTTCCAATGCAGTTTTATTTTATCAATCATATAAATGCGTTACCTTTAGATTGTATTTGCTTGCATAATCCAAAATAATAGGCACCAAATCATCAGTTGGTTCTCCGTTTTCATCAGCCATACCTGGTGGGTACCACGAAAGTGCTATTACACCTGAAAATATAAAGCACAGCTTTCAAACTGTATATTTAAAGCGTAGCATGCAGTCAGTTTGTCATGAGTTATAATTATTATTTGATGTAAAATCTATATACTGTAAACGAGAATTTCAAACTATTTTTTAATCAATTGTGAAATCTCAGCACTCTCTTTCTTTACAGCTGAAGGAAATCAGCGGTAAAAGCATCTGTCAGGAGAACAAGGGAACACATTTGTACCCAATGCCCCAAGCGTAACATTCATAGGCGTTGCCCTCCACTCTCTAGCACAGCATCATAATCTCCAAGTTTTATTAAGAGATGTTGGAAAAGGCTCCTGTGGTGTTACAGCTGTGCCACAGTACACTAGAGAATACCAAGATGCACAGGGGTAGAGAATACTCCAGAGATGAGGGCTACACAATGTCAAAAAGATTCTTATGAAGACTTATCCCCTACAACACTTCTGCATTATACCTCAGGCTCTATTACAAAATAATCATTTCATACTGGAAGCAGTGACTATAATCCTGCGCTCCTCCTTCTAGACACAAGCAGTCCCTATTACAACAAAAATGCAATGCTCCTAGACTGTAATTTTCCTTAATTGGAAAATTAATCCATTTCCATCCTTTGCTTTCCTCAAAAGCAAAAGATGACATACCTCATCAGAAAGACTCAAAACCTCTCTCTCTAAAATGAAATGCTGTCAGATTAAAAAACAAGACTGCTTAGATATAGAGCTGGAAATAACATAATATATCAATAAGACAGACAAATACATATGATACTGATTTAAAAATATTTTCCTAATGATACTAAATTAAACATGTGAACAGGAAGTCAATGTGGATCTTTTTAACTATCTAAAGATTGAAGTATCTAAGTCAGTTTACAGGCACAAAAATTTAGAGCATATACTTCCCTTTGACTTTACTAATACTGTAACTTTCCTGACAAACAACTTCAGAATAAAGTCCAAAATTATGAATAAGAAAACATCAATTAGAATGAATATGCTACCAGCTGCTAATGTCAAAAACAGAAATTTCATCTCAGTATACAAAGGAGAGGTTAATCCAACTACTCACAGCATATTCTCTCAAAATTTTATAAAAAAAAAAAAATCATAAACAGACTATCAAGAGCGACAGTCAGTTCAAGGGCAAGAAAAATGCAATAGTTTACTGCATTTTATCACCCTATCTTTTATTTAACACAAGAGGAATGGACAAAATTCAAAAGACATTATGAACAAGAAGCACAACAATAATGCAAACATGATACATTTTTCCAAAATATCTTGCATACAACATCTGTCACGAGCCTCTTCTATCACGTTAAGAAGCAAGGAGGAGTTCAGGAGACAAAATTTTTCAAGGAAGCTAACGCATTTGTCTTTCTTTCAGTTTTTTTTTTCCTTTTTTTTTTTTTTTTAAATAGATGTAAGTTACTCTGAAAGTAATGTCTCCTATTTATTTCCATGGAAACTAAAATGGAGCTATTTTCCTCTTTGTATCTATTTGATAGAACAAATTCTCAGCTACTAAACACTCTTTTTTTGACACAGTGACCATGATTAGCAATGTATTTATGCCAACGATGAAAAAGAGCCTGAGTGCAGCACTCGTAAAAATTGGCATGAGTGGAGATGACCCACGGCTGCCACTACTGTAATGCAGCACCTACAACCTCACTGTGCTCACATCCACTGTTTGCTCTCCATAACTGCTCATTGAACATCAGCAAATGTCAGTGGGCGTCATTTTTTAAAGCAGGGAAGAAGTCAGTGCCACACCTTTGCTCCTCCATGTCAAGCATCATTTTCTCAGTCTGTCCCTCTGCTGCCATGTGTCACACAGTAAGACAATGTAACAGAATACTGGTGGAAGTTCAACCACACCATTGACATTAGCTTCTGACGTCGTTGGTCAATAGAATAAAATCGATGGCGTAACTTTTAGGGCAGCCCTTGTCTCAAGGCAGTCAGTATATGTACCACATAAACTTTTCATTCTTTGAACGTACGTGGCAATTGTTCTTGGAAATTAACCCACCATCCTTGCCCCAAGTGACAGACAAAGTTTTAAAGATATTCCTGTGATAACAACATCCTCATGCATCCTTTGAACAGCATTTGGAATCAAGCTCTTCTTCAAAAATTAAAACAGTATGGAAGGCCCATAAACTTTTCTCAGCATAACTAAGAGCATCGGAAACTCACAGAAACTAAAAGCATTTTTTTCTTCCTACTGATCAAATCATCACTTGCGTGAAGACAAAAGAAATGGAACTGCATGCAAATCTGGCTATCAACAAATATAGATCAGACCTCTGTTTTTACTCTAGGCTTTCCCAATGTAATCAAGGCCTCCACTAATTGAGGAATAAAAGAAAGAAAGATCCTCTTTTCCAAGTGCAATTCAACCTAGATTAAAATATACAGCATGAATTTATTTCTGAGATTACCTCTCTCCTTGTCTGCTTGACTACTCAAGAATCCTAGACAGTTTACTTAGATGATATAGCTAACTTTTAGGTGAGTGACATAAGTTAAAATGAATGTCACCATAGATATTAAATCTGAGGGCAGTTTACAGGAAAAAAGACTAGTAATTACTTGACAATAGTTGCGGATGTAATTTACATTAACATTTTATATACCAGAGTGAGCTTTTCTTCGTGAAAAATATGAGCATTAATACTGTCTAATTTATAACATTTTTCCCCCAACACTATTCAAAGGAGAAGTGACATTTCAATTCTATGAATTACTGAAGTCTGCTATCAGATATTCTATTGAAATACACTAGAAATCAACTCCCTTTTACCCCTCAGGAAACACAACTCATCTGCCTCTGAAGTTGTGCACCAGCAGAATAAAATAAGAGGCATCACTTTCAGAGCAGCCCTCATATTTTCTGTTACACATTATAGGAAGAAAAGATCACTTCAGGAGACTGAGAAGGGACTGATTTAACCAAAGATCAGTGTAACATTATAAAACCAGACAAATGAAGGACTTCAAACCATACTGCAATAAAAACAGGGCAGTGCAAAATATGAAGTTTCATCAAGCAACCTGAAGAATAACAGATGAATACAACACATTCTGAAACTAAGAACACCACATGAAAGCAATGAATAAGACTCCTGCAGTTTCAACCTCTTATATGCCTTTGAGAATCACACAATATTGGCTGAGAGAAACCATTTACATTTCCCCCCCCCTTGGAAGATTCTTGACAAAGACTCTCAAAAAAGGTAAGAAAAAATATTATTTGATAAATGTAAAACACAGCAAGGCTAGGATTAGAAACTAGCTATAATTGTAAAAGAAGAAACTATAAACAGTAACTTGAGTACACAAAAAATGAATACAGTGTTAATCATACAAAAAAAAAGATGCAATATTTGAGTAATAACCTGAGAAAAAGTAAATTATGGTGATCAAATCTAGACTGAAAAAAACCCCAATTTCAAATATAATTAAATCCAAGAGTCAGAATAACAACCAAAAAAATTGAACTTTTGATAAATACCAGTTTAAAAAAAAATAATCAAACAGCACATTACAAGAAGCACGTATGACCTGTTAATGTTGGAAAAGTTAAATGGAAAGGTAATTTAAGGCCATTAAAAAAAAAAAACAAAAACCGTTCTCTGTAAAGCATTTTTCTTAGTATTTTGCATTTTTTCTACTACCAGTTCTGCTTTATCAGCATTTTTATTTAGAGGATGAGAAATGCCAAATTGTTCTAAAATTACACACCTGCTCCCTGCTTTCATCACACTACCACGCATTATTGTCTGATATAGACACGACTAAAAAAGTGCTTTGTGACAACTAATATCAGATTTTTCTGCATCTGTTTTCCCTCTGCTGCTGCTGTTCCTGTTGTTAATGAAGTTATTCTATTACTGAAAATAGTAAGAGAACTCCTACTTTTGTATTAATTATAGTTGAAAATACAGGTTAGAATAAAAAGTAAGAAACAAAATAAACAAGAATTAAATATTACAGAAACAAACACTACCACTTGGAATATAACAATTATACAATTCTTAGTGTCTATGTCAACGAAAGCAATTCAATTCAACACAATTAGTACTGCGAATGATTTTATAAGCTCCGATCATACTATTTCAATACACTTACATAAGCTGTTCAGAGCTTAGTATTAGACTATGTAACTCCTTATTTTAAAGATGATTGATGTAGAACAGGCACAAAACAACAATAAAGTATGAGAGCAAAAACACAATAAATATTCTTTTTATATATCCCTTTAAGATATATACTTATGGTGGGGAAAAAAAAGGTATTTTTGGACAAGGAAATAAACCATTATTAGCTACATTTAAACTATCCTACTTGAATATAAAAAGTTTAGGATTAGACACTTCTATAGCTAATGAGACCACCTATAGATATATTGCATTCAATAAAAGCCATAATTCTACATTTTTTGACATGACTAATATAACATTGTTGTAACACAACAAGTGTTTGTAAACAATTCTCTTGTTTGAACAGACTGCTCTACTACTTTGTCAGCATGACTTACTGAAGTGTTATTAAAACCTAAGTATACACCTCCAAAAATAAAATACGCAGACAGACAACAAACTCTAACAACAGCTTCTGTATTGTCTACACATGTTAACAGTGCTTAACGGTTTAATTTATGAAACATATGCACCTGAAGGATTACACAGTTCTTGGTTTCTATGCTCAGCAGAAGTGCCTCTGATGTTCAAGGTTTTGAGTTAGGTATTAAAACTTAGAAACATTTAGCAACTTCACCCATTTCCAGAGTTACAAAGAAAAACTGGTCAGCTGTGTTCATTCAAATATTTAAGGCTGGATAAATGAAAAACATGCTGAAACATTAACATTCATTTACCAATTGAAGCTGAAAGCATTTGTTTCATGTGAGCTTCTATGACAGAAGTATCTTTGGAACTGTAAGATCCAAGTTCAGGATAAAAATTGGCTGCAATGTCCTCAGGAGGATTATGCCTTCCCTTTGGATAATTGTTTGCAATTTTGGGGTCCCAATGTGGCAACAAAGGATGGTTCCAGTGAATGTATTTACCATCAAACTGTGGATTCCCAAACCAGCTATAATAGAATATATGGAAGTTATAATTAGGAGAAGACAGATCTCCTTCCAACTTGTTCACAGGAGGCATGGATGCTTTCATCGTATTGACCACACCAGCATGCATGTTACTGATCTGTGTTACAGTATCTCCTTGAACCCTATTCAGTGAACTTTGTTTACTCTCTAAGAGCTCTGTCCGTTGTTGAAGCTCAGGTAATAAACCAAGTCCAAATGGGTCCCCAAAGCCAGCTCTGTCAGGTCTCAGAGTCTTCAAAGCCATCATTATGGAGCAAATAAACAAAATAAAAAGCAACAAAATGATGCATGTTCTTCTGCGAAATCTTGCCATGATGTCATACTTCAGAATCCACTAAAATCCATCCAATTTTGGCAGCAACTGATAAAACACAAATATTTTGAAGTCAGATTTCTTATTGTCTAGTAGTACAGTTTTTTCATAAGGTTTCTACATAATGGAAATATTAGAAGACAATTATGTGACGCTTATACACTGTATTAATGACAAGTTTTCTCAAAGGATTAAAGTGAAGGAGAACGATCAAAAACACTTACGTGTTTGAGAATGTGTGTCAAAGATTAAAGTTTACCACTGAAGAAACCCAGATTTTAATAAGCATCTTACTTTTGAACTTTGTTCTTTTCTTAAATTAATTAAATCCCATGAAATCTTGGTTATATTATTTCAGAAGTCTTCTATTTTGGTAAGTCTGATCAAAATAGCAAAGAAAGTAAGAAAAAAGCAGAAGCCATGACAACAGAGTAATGTAAAAGAGAAAAAAAGCAAATTGAGATAGTGAACAAAGTACAGTTTATGTTCAGAATACAGGTTTGTTATCACTACCTACTTAATGGCACAACCACCTCTTGTTAAGTTAAGCAACTTCGCTGACTGAACATTTTTGGCCAATTAAGCTTCATACTGTAGAGTTTCCCAGCTTTTCATACCTAAAATTCAATGTGTTGAACTACAAAAAAATCAGCATAGCTTTAAAGATGTACTTCAGGCAGAAAGCCTACAATCAGCTGCTGGTAACTTGTTAGTACAGTATTACAGCTGCATGGCACTTCATGCACAATTTCTGGATTAAGTTCAAAGTAAAACCAATAGTGCACAACATTTCAGCACTGGAGGGAAGGGAACGAAAAGCATTATAATAAAATTCCTGATTACCTTGTAAATAATTCCCATTCAACATTAAACAGAAGAGAGAACGTGATGAAAAAAGCTCAGGTCACCACGTAATGGTGTGGAACATGATTAAGCACAAAACTGGAAGAACTTAGAAAAAAAAAAAAAAAAACCTGATTCAGCTGTCATTAGATATAGCACAGAAGTGATTTTGTATTTCTGTAACTGACATCCAAATAGTAGAATATGACTTTAAAGTATCAAGGTATACACAGGTCATTTTTACATGCAAACTATCTCATCTTATTTTCCTACCATTACTTAATATTATTAAAATACATTAACATATAGCTTCAATAGTAACCATGCTTGCCACCACTTCTAGAGTCACAAATTTAGATAAAGAATTTTAGAATGTTTCTTTAACAACATAGTTTGAGTAGGATTACCGCTATGACACTGCCAAAAAGTCTTGCTTTTGCTTCCAATGTTTTTTCCACTGATCCTCCTCTCCGTGTCCTGTTATCTCCGGTACGCTGGTTTCAAAGTATGGTCACACACATGCTCAAGGAGCAAAATCACATTAACATTTCAAAAACAGACAACAAAAAAGGGACACCCTTTTATTTTGTTAGAGATTTGACTCAGCTGAACAAGTACAACAGCAGTAATGCCAACAGGTGAGTAAACAGCATAGACAGAAGAAGGGAAAAAAGAAAATGAAGCAGCACAACTGCACTGTGAAAACATATCCTTTGTTACCATCAGGGAAAATGATTTTCCAGCATATATGCTTATAGTACTTCATTTCACTTGAAATTTTTCATTTAACAGACTTCATGTCACTTTACATCAAATTACAGACTTCTTTTTATACAGCATGCAATCCATCCCTAGGCCTTAAAATTTTAGCAGATTTTATTTGGAATTTTCTCCTACTAACAAATTAACTTTAGAAAGACTTGCACACTACTTCTGCACTGTTTCTGAGATATTTTCAATCTTACTTACAGTGTACATGAAATGTTACCATTTCAATCTAACTTACCATGCTGCACCTCAGAATTTTAAATTTTCTGAAGGATCAGGTTTTTTTTTAATTACTTTTTCCAGAACAGAAACAATGTCATTTTGTCATTTAAGTGCTTAAATGTATTAATGCATTTCAGTTTTTCAACCCAGATGATATTGACAGAAAACACATTTACTTTCTTCTCCAATTATTATTTTATCCCCCCTCCTCAGTAAAGAGATTTCACATCACTAGAGATTACAGTCTGTAACTAGAACATTTGCAAGCTCTTTCTCCTTTACTGAGAAAGCGGTCCTTTCTTTCTTTGCTTGACATAGCAGCTACAAAACTCCTGCCCCACTGTACCAAGATTTCACTGTCATGAAGTGTTACTTCTGATGTGTCAGGAACTGGTGTCAGTTCTCCACACTGTTGTTCCAATAAATATTTTTTCCAATAAAATATTTACAATTCAAGTATATTAAGAAGCAAGCAGCATACATGCTAACTTTACTTCCATCAGAAGTTTTTGATTTGACTGGCAACAGGACAGACCCTGATCTATCACAGTGTTTTATGAACCTCTAATATACTTATATAGAGGCATAAAACTGAAGAGCAAAAGTTCTAACGTGTCTACACGGTACCTAACCTATCAGATGGTGTTCTGCATGCCAGTTGCAATGTCAAGGTTCAGCACTGACATACACACTTGTACTTTAACAATTGCATTCAAGACCTAAACAGTAACAGGCAAATAGTGCTCACCAGCACTACTGCCGCAGCAAAGATGTAAACATCAGCAAATATCAAAGCTTCACAGCTAAGGTCTCCAAACTTCACTTTTGCTATAAATTCCCAGCTGCAAGAACCTGAAAACTCTGAAAGAATAGATCAGACTTAAGTAAAGCTGAAGTCTGTAGGCCTTCAAAGTCTTCAATGCTTTGCAAACATGCCACCCTTGATCTTGTGCTGCATTCTGGGACCACCGTGCAAATAAGTACCTGGCAGCATCACTTCAGGTGCCAAGTGACTGATCAGGTGAGGTTCAGTATGCTTCCCTAGGGGTTGCTAAGGTCTGCACAACTCGTATTTACATAACATCTTCCAGTCTGGAGAACACAAAGAAAAAGCAACAGAGGTTGACCTGCGAGGCCTTCCTTGTAACAGCCTTAGCACTCGTTCCAGTAATACACAAACAAGGTATTTCTCCAAAAAAATGTCAGCACGGCAGTGTTTAGAGAAGGTTTTCTCAAAGAAAAAAAAAAAAAAAAAAAAAAAAGCAAGCACTGGAAAACCATTGAGGATAGGAGACGACATCACACATAGCAAGCATTTCATAACTGCGCTTACAGCCTACGGGGATACACCGGGTGATGATGTACCAGCCCCCCAACACCGCCAGGCCGCCCATCAGCAGCTGCAGGGTGAGGGCAGCCCCTCGGCTCTCCTCGTTCCCTCCAGCCCCGGGGAGAGCCCCGGCCCGGCTCCTCACATCCTTTCCCCCGCTCCGGGGGCCGGCAGCGCCCTCGCCGCGCTGCTCCCCACCCAGCCCAGGTGCCGCGGACAAGCGGCCGCTACTCACCGGCCCGACGCAGGAGGACCCGCCGCGGAGGGCGGGCTCATATCGCCGGGAGCCGGGCCAGCGCCGCTCCGCAGGGATACGCATGCTCAAGCGGACGCGCGTGCGCGGCGGCAGGATGGGGCCGGAGGTTGGGACTGGTGTGCCGCCCGTCGGTTGTCGCTGGGAGCTGGGCGGCCTCAGTGCCGAGCGCTGTGTTTGGGAGGGGTCTCAACGATCGTCTAGTTCTAACTTCCTGCCGTGGGCTGGGCTGCCACCTTTTTTTTTTTTCTTGTTTTTTTCCTTCCCCAGAACTGTGAACGTAAACTGCAAAAGCTCTCATAGTGAGATTACAAAACAAATCAATGAAAAAACAGATTCTCGTTTTCCCCCGTTAAGCATCAGAGGCTTGTCGAGCAGAGCTGTTGCTGATAGCACTCAGACTGACTCAACACAAATTTTCTCTTCAATGAAGAGTGCAGTATCCCCAGACAATAAAAGCATTTATTCTCTTTGCCTCCTGAAAAGTGACTGTAATGAGTTTGATCCCCGTGGTGCAGTTTGATTTTATTTTTTAATAACCTCTCTAAGCCCTTTGGGAAATGGAGCAGAAACGGCGACTAGGATTGCAGCTGCATTGGAATCAATAGCAGAATCCTCATTGATTTCACCTGGAAAGAGTTGGAATGAGCGTTTCACTGTGCCAACAAGAAATAAGATGAATAAGATATTGTATATATCATATTTATGATATCATAGATATTGTATTTATCATATAATATATGATAAGATGATTCAAGTGCTCTTGCAGTCCTCCTTGCGGTCTGAGAAAATGGGCAGGCAGAATTGTTGCATGGTATTTTCTCTATGCTGAGTGCTCCAATAGGAAATGCATTTGCAGTAATGTGTATTTCTAGTACTACTTCCTGCAAGCATCTGAAGAATTTCATTAACAGGCAATACATTGTAATACATCAAGAATGCTGTGCTTTAATGATAAATGAGTTTGTGTATCAGTAGACTGGAGATTGAAACTTGAACATTTGATATTCATATAATTGACTGACTGGCTCACAGATTTTTTTTTACCTGAAATTTTTTGCTTGCTTCTTCCTTCTTTTTTCATTTCTCTTTCTTTCTTTCTTTTTTTTTTTTTCTTTTTCTTTTTCCTTTTTTTTTTTCTCCCCTATTCTTTCTTTCCTCCTTTCTTCAAAAGATAAGATACTGCTAGGATGCTATTCATTAATATTTTATAGAGGGCATAACTAACTTTCACTTGCACTTTACAATGTGGAAGAACTACTACAGAACTAATGATATTTATTTGAAAATTAAATAGTTAGCTTAAGAATTGAGAAGTAAATATGAATCCTTGTTTGATTATTTCACCTGCAAAGGAATAAATCTATTCATCAGATAAAAAAATCATAAATGTGTTTCTTCTGATATTGTTCTGTTACATCTGAACGTTTTTGCTGAATCTACTGGTTCAGATTTTTAAAGAAACAAACCCATTATATCATACATTTTCCTCAAAGCCTTTCTGCATAGTAATGAAGTTAAATAATCATGCTAGCTGATGTGGGACAAGGGAGATTAATGTGCCCGTGGTTATTCACTTGATTATTTTTCAATGTTATCTATCTTTTACATTCTTAAGTTTGCACTTGCTTGTTTTTCTTGTTAGATCAAGGTGTACCTTTCTCTCATCTACCCACAATGTATGTACTTATCTTTCCTGTAGCTTTCATAATTTTTTCTTCCATTATATCCTCTGTCTTCTCACTTATTCTTTATGCTGTAATAGCATGTTCTGGCTTTGGAGCAAACACAAAAGGAGGAATAGCCTGTGCTTGTAGCCTTTTCATCTATTCTTAATAGTTCTATCTGTTATAAAATCATGAAACTCTCACAATTCAGTACTCATCAGGCCCTTGGAATAGCCACCTTTTATCCTAGAAGACACTGAATTGTCAGCTGTAAGTATGAAAAAATACCCTTGGGAACAGCAAGAAGCCGGTATCTGGAAACCTTATTGTTATATCACAGTTCATTTAGTGACACCACAAATGAGGTTTTTAATTTCTAAAATCCAGTGAAACCTAATGTGTTACTGAAATTTAATTCCGAGTTATATTCCCAGATAGGAGAAAACAGTGTACCGAGTACAGAGGTTACTACGTGTACGTGTGGAACGTATTCCTTTTCATTCTTTTTTTCTTGATACTGGAAATGTGGAGTCAGTGTTCTGTTCCTGCTGCTTCACTCCTAATGCTGGTCTTTGCATCTGATAACACTGGATCCTTAGGGACATAGCGAGCAAAAAAATTTATTGTGGTCATTGTTCATACTCCAGAGCTCCTTGTTTGGTTTCATCAGTCTCTAGCAGAAGCTAAGGACAACCTTGCTTTTGTGCCAAAAAGGTAGCATAGTGTGGGTCCTTTTTTTTTTTCTCAACCTTTCAACAGCAGCAGAAATGCTATAATATTTTGGACAGATTTTGGATTTGGATAGCTTTATTCATGCTTGTTACAAGTTTGAAGAGGTAATTTTGAAACGACCATGGATGACTATAAATCCTTAAGCTGCAGATATAAGCAAGTCCTATTAAAAATCATAGTCTTTCTCTCTCATGAGACTAATCCTGGGATTTACAGAATGGTTCACTACACGGTTTTATTTATTAGAGATTTGTTCCAGCCTTTCAGAAATTAAACTATTCTTTACATATAGAAGTTATGTCAAACTCAAAAGTAATTTTCAAATGTAGAAAATCCATGTTTCTCCTTAGAAAACTATGCATATTTTTTAATTTGTGTTGTAAAATTAATAACTACTGGGATAAGCTAGAAAAAAACTAATGATCTACAGCCACTGTAAAGATACTGTATTCTCCTCAGCAGTTTCATGCATATTTTTATGTCTACGCAATGTTTATAAGTAGAAATTTCCTGTACTGACATAGAGAAATAGTACTAATATAGCTAAAAATTATACAGTGTCAAAATGTTGTATACCTTGCTGATACAGAAATGCCTACTGAGCTTAGTACAGAGTGCTATTGCATATATTGGAATTGCATGGAGACTATAAACTGAGCAAAGATTACAGAAAGTATGTTGCATGTTGGTTAGGCTAGCACGTATTTGGATGTATTTTATTTTTTTTCTTTCATTCATTCCTCATTAGGTTCTAAGACCTTTTCTGGAAAGACAGAGTCATTTAGCAAGCTGCTTTTAACTCTTTTGTTAGAAGTAAAGTTACATAGTATTTTAGGAGAAAAAAACGTACATATTTTTTTCTCTGCTGATGAAGGAAGTGATACAGGAAGAGATACAGGAAGAATATACAATTTGTTTCCCAAATTTTCTTTGTTGTAGTTATCAATGTGTGGATGTATTTGATCCAGAATCTCATCTCCTTCAAAAATTAGAAGTCTCATTTGTGCAAACAAATTAAACAAACTGATGAAACAATGAGGTTTTCTTCTTCGGGTAGAAAATTTAATTGAACCTTGATAATAT